GCTGTCTCTTATACACATCTAGATGTGTATAAGAGACAGGTCTAGGAGAGGACCTCGTGGCCTTCAACATGAGAGACGAAAAGGAAGGGGGTAAATGGAAAGAGAGCACCAAGGACCCGGAGGTGTGGTACAACAAGGTCGAGGACGGGGCGGCATGGCTCGTGAGGAAATGGCACAGGCAGGAGGCGAGAGCGTCCGCGAAGCACCAGCGCGCGAGGGAAGCAGAAGCAGAGAGTACGGCAATCTCAGGATCGAAGAGAAAGAGAGCCGGGGAAGCGGCGGTGGAGGGGAAGAAACGGCGACCGGGCACCGCTGTAGAAGCGAGTAGGGCGGCCGAGGCAGCACTTGTGGCGAACTATGTACCCGGCTGATGTTGTTGCGCCCGTTTCCCTCCCTGCTGTATGCTGTACTCATTGATGTATGTCCTTTGTATTGCCTTCAGCCTCTGTGCTGTGTTTCTTTTTTCATGACCTCCCTGCCTACCCTGCTGTATTGGGTACGTTGATCTCGCTGTTGCTGTTGCCTTTGTTTTTGTACGTCTGGCTGTCTGCCCATGTGCCGCCTCTTTGTCCTGTTTGCTCCGTTACTCACATGCCCTGGTGCGCAGTGCCTGGTGCTGGTACGTTACCCTTTGATATTTTCTTTGGGCGGGTGTGGGAAGCGTTCTCCATTATTTTTGTTATTTTTTTTTGATCGGTTTCCGAGGGCTCTTTTCTCGAACGGTCGGTGCGGTACCCTTTCTTTTCTTTCTATCATTTTGCTTTCTTTTTTCGAATAATTTGGACCCTATTTTTGTTTTTTTCCCCGCGGCGTCGTCTGTGCCGGGTTTTGAGACCACAGCCTCCCCATTTTTTGTGGACTATAGAGCTAATGTGAGAAACAACAACAACAAGAGAAGAGCCCCTCTCTACTCTCCCTTACTGCGGCACTTTGCCTTCGATTTTTTAGGCGAGAAGAGCTAACAGGGAACTGTTAAGGGAAATGTACAAAAGTGGGTATACCCACGCCATTGTCGGACAAAAGTGGGTACTCGGAAATCTAGCGCGCGCGAACTCCCAAGGCAACCCCCAAACGACTCTAAACCCCATTCTGACACCTGGGCGACACAGCCAGGGACCATACACAGCACGGGCATCGATTTTTTCCCACGTTCAGGCACACATACATTCGACCCTAACACCGCAGAGGCGCGCAAGGCCTCACCAGAGTGCCCACTTCTGTCCGACATCGCGGTGGGTGTACCCAGCGGCGTCAACTAATTTTTTCACACCCACTTTTGTCTATATTTCGACCCACTTTTGTCCAAATTGTACGCACTTGTGTCCACTTACGGGCGGCGGAAATCGAGCGGAAATCGACCTTCACGTCACAGCACGGCAGAACATCGAATAGCCTCGGAAAGTCTCAGAACCTCCTACACCGTATCCATGGTATCTTTCCTATTCATGGCTGCCGACTGCGGACCGACCGCGGAGGAACATGTCAGAAACATGCCAGGCTCCTTCGGGACAGCACCGGCACGGGAGGATATCAGGCACGGGAAGATGCCCGGGGCAAGCCCGGCAAGCAGAGCGCACTAACGGCAAACGCCACAAATAAATGCGTGACACACAACGGACAACAAAACCAACTGGCGCGCATACAGAACAAAAAGGCGCGCGTGCAGCAACAACACACACACACGCGCATCACACAAAAAAAAAAACACCACGACGAGTGCACACCGACTCGTGAGGGCAGCAGCAGCATGTCTAGGCAGTTTGCCGCGTAACCACATGATGGTATTCATATGCACAACATGCATATGGTGTGTTCGAAGTAAACATCCGGCTCGATATCCCCTTAAAACCTAACCAATCAAGAGACAGACGAAAACGGATACTAGTCAGTGCCTGGTGCTGGTACGTTACCCTTTGATTGTTTCTTTAGGCGGGTGTGGGAAGCTTCCTCCGTTATTTTTGTTTTCGTAATATTTTGATCGGTTTCCGAAAGCTCTTTTCTCGAACGGTCGGTGCGGTACCTGTTCTTTTGTACCATATTGTTTTCTTTTCCGAGTGATTTGTACCCTATTACCCTATTTTTGTTTTGTTTCCCCGCGGCGTCGTATGTGCCGGGTTTTGAGACCACGGGCTCCCCATTTTTTGTGGACCACAGTGCTCATAATGTGAGAAACAACAACAAGAACACCAACAACAACAACAACAACAACCGGTCGCTACGGCGTTCGCGGCTACTTTATGGATGGTGGGTTAAGGAAGAAATAGGCCGCACGTTGCGTACTCCGGAGTAACCATAAGAGTTGGCATACACATGGTTTCATACTTTGCATGCATACGAAGTACTTCTATAAGCACTACTAGTTCAGGGGTGCCGCGCTTAGGGTTGCGTGGAAAACTGCCTCGACATGCTGCTGCTGCCCTCACGAGTCGGTGTGCACTCGTCGTAGTGGTTGGTGTTTTTTTGTGTGTGGCGCGTGATGTGTGCTTGTATTTTTTGTTTGTTTTCTGCCATCATTGGATTCTGCCGTCTGCCCTTCTGGCCCCTATCCTCCACTTCTACCAGCTAGACGACCCAACCGGGGTCACATAGGAGGGGGGGATCGGACCCCCTCCTGCAGTTCCTGCCTGAGATATTTTTATCGCGAGAAGGGTACAGCGATCCTCCTGTATGCGCTTGTTCTGCGGTAAATGTTTGGTATTTTGTTGTCCGCTGTGTGTCACGCATTTATTTGTGGCGTTTGCCGTTAGTGCGCTGCTTGCCGGGCTTGCCCCGGGCATCTTCCCGTGCCTGGTATCCTCCATTGCAGGTACTGTCCCGAAGGGGCCTGGCATGTTTCTGACGACATGTTCCTCCGCTGTCGGTCCGCAGTCGGCAGCCATGAATAGGGAAGATGTCATGGATACGGTGTAGGGAGGTTCTGAGACTTCGGAGGATATTCGATGTTCTGCCGTGCGGTGACGTGGAGGTCGATTTCCGCTCGATTTCCGCCGTCCGTAAGCGGACACAAGTGGGGACAATTTGGACAAAAGTGGGTCGAAATGTAGACGACATATGTGGGCACCACATGTCAGTATATAAGGCTTGGGCACCTCATCTCGTGTCGGGCAAACACCCTTTTTACACATCAGTGGTATGAAAAAATTGGTTGACGCCGGTGGGTATACCCACCACGCGATGTCGGACAGAAGTGTGGGCACTCTGGTGAGGCCTTGCGCGCCTCTGCGGTGTTAGGCCCGAATGTATGTGTGCCTGAACGTGGGAAAATATCGATGCCCGTGCTGTGTATGGTCCCTGGCTGTGTCGCCCAGGTGTCAGAATGGGGTTTAGAGTCGTTTGGGGGTTGCCTTGGGAGTGCGCACGCGCTGGATTTCCGAGTACCCGCTTTTGTCCGAGAAAGGCGTGGGGTATACCCACTTTAGTCCATTTCCCAAATGTTAATCTTCGGTCTGAATTTAGGACTTCGGTCTGAGAATTTCCGGAACCGGCACGTAAAGCTCGCTCGTTATTAGTTCCGAAAATCGAATCAAAACCCATCTCTGCAGAGGGACCTTCCACAACTCCTCCCTGACAAGCGCGCGGTCGGGAGCAGCCCCAAACAGCCTCAGGCAAGCTTCTATGGAGGTGGACACGTACGCTGGCATGTAGCAGCGTGTGTCTTTAGCTTGGCAGTGGCTTTGGGTCCGCCGGAGAGGGAAGCAACCCGTCCGTCATCAGTTGTCAGATTGTTGAGAGATGAGAACCAACTCGTCCACGTGTCGGCTCCCCTCCGGCAAGAACACACAACCTCACCTGCATTGCTATACACGCCTCAACAGCCCACTCGTACATGCATGCGGCGAGGCTCCAGACGTGAGAAATCCTCCCTTCCTCGGGGGCGCGTTCCTTCGCAGTAAGGCTGGATGCGTGAGTGTGCTTAGGCAGCGTGGAGAGAGAGGTTCGCCGCATCGGCTATTTTCTAGAAAAAAAAAGCGCACACATGCGCGAGATCTCCGAGATGCACCCACGTCCGGGCTGTCACTGTCGTGCGTTGCAACTCGAACTGCTAGCCGCTCATGACTTTGGTTGCATTGTTCGAGGTCAGGTAGATACTCACGAATGAGTGCAGCGTACAGGCAGCAACAAGAGCAGCAGCAGTAGAGAGCAAGCAGCAGTTAGACAGACAGCACAGGAGAGATGGCATACTAATCCAAATGGTACACGAACGTACAGCATGATCTAGGCATCGGTTGCTTCACGACACGACCGTTTTATGTTGTGGCTGCTTGCTAGTCGAGTGTGTGCGCTGACCGTCTTGCTTCTCTCTCTTTTTGTTCGTCCTTTTTTTCTCCTCTACCGCCGTTGACCCCATGAAACGAAGGGTTATTTTTTCTGCAAGATGGCCGGCAGGCAAACCGAGCAGGAGGAGAAAAGACGCAGCAGGAGACCAACGGCGTCATCAACGGCGGTGGAAGGCGCCGGCCAAGCGCGGAGCCACCTGCTATGTTGTACCTCGAAATGGATGCTGCGGACGAGAGAAGCTTCATTCCCTAGATAAATCCCTACCTGGAACATGTAAGTAAGCAAGTGCAGCTTACGACATGAACATCTACTACGACTGTGTGTAATATGATGTGTGAGGACCAAAGTTTGTTTGTGAACAAACGGCCGTTGTGGACAGTGGTGCCTTGTTGTCCGCCGTGGTATACGGTAGCCAAGGGGACATCGATGGCCGGCATGCGCGATGAAGTACTGTAACTAAGCAATGTGTTGTACAGGGTTGTGATGATCCTGGTGGTGGTGTTTTGTTGACTTTTGTGCTGCTGCTGTTGCTGCTGCTGCTCGCTCGCAACGGGTTCTTGTTGTATATGTCCGCGACTTGGAAGGGAGAGACTGAATATCGCTTGTATTAGAAACGCAGAAGCAAGAGAAGAGAAGAAGAATAGTGCTTCCGGAAAACAGAGAAGCAGGGGTCACAAGCACAAGAACCCCAAAATGGTATGTCTACGTTCCTATCTGCGAATATATCCGTTACTGCGGTCGATCAATACCTGTCCGTATCCAAACACACGAACACCCTCCCTGGTTTTTCACGCAAGTGGCAAACCATCCGTGGGGCATGGTTACCCCTGATCAGACCTAGGGACTCTAAACAGTAACGGTGCAAGGGAAAACCCGGCCATCCGGATCAAAAACCCTCGCCTACCCTAAACATATATAACCGTCGCTATCACGGAGGATTCCAACGGCCGCACTTCCAAGACAAGATCAAGGCAGGACAAATTGTACCGGGCACGGGGATTACGCATCTCTCGGTAGCGCTACGGGCGCTTCTAGGCTCCAACCTCGAGTGACGTGCCGGTAAATCCTTCCTGCGTGACGTACCATGATCATAAAGTCCAGTGCTAAACAACGACAAAAAAAAACAGATCACTACCCCGGGATGTTCATCAGAGCATTCCGGTAGTCTTCTAGTTTGGTCCTACCAAGAGCCTTGGTGAGAAGGTCGGCGTGCTGCTCGTCAGTCGGGATGTACTCGACGGAGATTCTGCCCGACTTGAACAGCTCTCGAATGAAATGGAACCGCACGTCGATGTGCTTGCTCCTCGCCGAGCTAAAGGGGTTCTGCACCAACGATATCGCCCCCTGGTTGTCCTCAAGGACCTTGATCTTCGCCCCACTCGTCTCAGGCGCTATGAAAGACAGCACCGCACGCACAAACAAGGCTTCTTTCACGCCTTCCCCGGCTGCAATGTACTCAGCCTCCGAGGTCGACAGAGACACGATACGCTGCGTCTTGCTAGCGTGGCTGACCACGGTACCACCAACAGTTACGGCTATTCCCGTCACCGAACGCCTGCCGGTGTCCCTGTCGGCGTAGCTGGCATCAACATACACCTCTAGGTCTAGCCCCGAACCCCGAACGTAGGTGATGCCGAGGTCCATCGTGGCGTTGAGATAGCTCAGGATCTGCACGAGCGCCTTCCAGTCTCGCATGGTGGGCGCATGAGCGTTCCGTTGCACTGCGTTCAGAGCGGTGGCGATGTCCGGCCTCGTAAATGTCGCAGGCCACATCAGACATCCGATCGCCTGCCTCACTGGCTTATCCACCCCGGGCTCGTCATCTCTCTTCGGCCCTAGATCGGCATTGGGGTCAGCGGGGGTGGATGCGGTCGTCGTGATCCCAAAACGGTCCATCAGTCCTGCAATGTACGCTTTCTGGGACAGTGTGGTCGTTCCCAACTCCAAATCCCTTTCAATCGCACATCCATCGTACCAGGTGCACTCCCCCAAATCCTTCACAGGAAGTGTCTTACGCAGGGAAGTGAGCAACTCCTCGCCCTCTTCTTCCGACCCTACGTACATGATGTCGTCCACGTAGATCACGATGATGCTCACTACCTTCCCATCCACGATCTTACGGAACACACACGGGTCAGCCCTGCACTGCTCGTACCCGCTATCCACCAGGATATTAGCAGCCTCAAAACCCCACTCACGCCCACTCTGCTTCAGACCATACAGTGCCCGTTCTACCTTGAGCACCTTGCCAGCCATGGCACCACTACCATCGGCAATCCGCACATAGAGTTCTTCCTGGATCTTTGCGTGCGTGTACGCCTGCTTAATGTCGAAATGGCGTGTGGGTAGGCCGCCCTCTGTGGCAAAGGCCATCGCGAGCTTAATCGATGAAACGGCTGGGCACGCTGATGAAGAGTGGTGGTAGTCCTGTCCGTGGACTTGGGAAAAACCACGAGCAACCAGACGGGCCTTGAAGTCGGTAATCAACCCCTTCTCATCAGTCTTGTAATCGAACACCCACTTCGTACTGACTGCCTTCCGACCTTCAGGGAGCTTCTCGATTTTAGAGAACGTCCCTGTTTTCTCATGCCCGTCCATCTCCTTCTTGATTGCCTCGTCCCACTGCTTCCTGTACTTAGACCATTTCACGTCCTCGTACGTCAACGGCAGAGCCTCTACATCGTTAGGTTTCTGCCCGATTGGCGAGGGGATACTTAGCTCAGGGTTGCTGCAGTCGATGTTGAAAGGACGTTCCACCGGCACGTCCGACTGCAGCATCATCTCTTCAATCTCAGCCTGTAGGGCCATTTCCTCCATCTGGCGCTCCTCCACCAACGACCGTTGGAGATACTCAGCGACGAGCTCCTTGCCTCCCTCCACCTCCAGGACTGTTGACAGCAAGGCCTCCTCGGCGGCCTCCTCGGCGGCACCCTCGGCGGTCCTCTCGGCCTCCGCTAGCTCCCGTGTCTGCTTCCGGGTGCGACCGCGCTGCAGCCCGTAGCGCAGTGGGCCCTCCTTCGAGGCGCCCCAGAGAAGTTTCTTTCCCTGCGTCCCGGGGGGGTAGCGGGTATCGGCGGGGTCGTATTTGTACTCGCCGTCGTCGCTGCCGCCGCTATCCTCGCCGTCGACGTCGGAGCCCCCAGCTCCCCCGGCCTCTCCGCCGGAGTCTTCGGGTTCACCGCCGCCGCCGCTGGTGTCGCTGTTGCTGCTGCTGCTGCTGCTGCTGCTGTTACTGCTGCTGCTGCTGTCGCTGCTGCTGCTGCTGCTGGTGGGGATGCCATCGCCGCCACCAAAATCGCCCCCTCCCAAATGGGGCGACGGGGGAGCACTACCTTCGTCCCCCTGGATCCCGTTGCCGGGTACCGCCGGCGCATTCTCGCGCGCCGGCAGTGTCGCACGCCCCGGCCCACGGATCTCCGTCATGTCGAGGTCGGACTCACTCGCCAAGTCCTCTTCCCCCCCTCCACCTCGACTCGACGTGTCCTCACTGCCCTCGCCCTCCCCTCCCTCCCCAATATCCGCGAGGGGCAGTTGCGGGGGAACGGGCGAAACAGCGGGTACGTGGCGCCAAGTGAAGTTGCGGGTGGTGACTACGGTTCCAGCTTCGGTTAGCATGCGGACGCAATCACGGGGGTGGTTGTGGGCCGGTCCGAGGTACCATCCTTTTCGGCCCTTGGGGTGCGATTTTCTCTCTCTTCGTGCCTTGTACACCGCCGGTTTGAGGAACGGGTACACCGACCCGGCCGGGGGCGGTTTCCCGTGGAACATCTCATACGGAGATTTGTCCCCGGGGTTGGCGGTGGTGGCGGTGCAGTTCAGTTGATGGCATGCACATGCGATCGCCTCAGCCCACAAGGCCGGGTCAGTTGGCGCGTCAGGGAACATCTCCTTAGCTTGAATGCGTGACGCTAGTGCGGCATCACTAATGATGCCTAGCCATCTTTCCGCAACACCGTTGTACTTGGGGGTGTGCGGGGGGGTCTTCTCTTGCTTGATACCCCACTTCCGGCAAGTCTTCGAAAACTGCCCCTGGAATTCGTTGTCTGAACGCACAACGTACACCTCACACGGAGTACCCTCCGACCGGTAATCCGCGATAAATTGCTCGAGTGCGTCGGCTGCTTCAGACTTGCGTTTCAGAAAAAACACGCGCGTCCAACGGGTGGCATCGCATCTGATGATGAGGGTGTACCATCTGCCCCCGATGCTATGGAACTGCATCCGCCCCCCCAGGTCGATAAAAACTCGAAACAGTTTCTTAACTGCGCGTGTGTCCGTGAATCTCTGAACGGCTTTCACCTGCCCCTTAGCCATAGAGCAGCCGGTGCAGCTCAGGAGCGGCCCTCCCGTCAGCTCCACTCCCTGCTGCTTCGCCGTGAGCCTCAGCAACCTCTCGTGAGCGTGGCCGTGCGAGTTGTGGAATTCGTTGAGGTCAGTGGGGGTGGCGGCTTTCGCTTCGCCAGGAACAATAATAGCGGCACAGGCGGTGTCTACCTCGGGCTCGGTTTGATAGCCCCACAGGGAGAGCAATTTTCCGAGTTGGGGGAACCACACTTCCTTCCCTGCTTTCGTGGTTAGCACTAGCCCCCCCGGTTTTCCAGCGTACGTGTGGCCTTCCTCGGTCAACGAAGTGAGCGAGATAAGGTTCAAGTCCATTCCTGGCACATGGGCTGCACGCTTAATCGGCACGGGTACTTCTTGGCCTTCCGACTGAAGGACTACGGTCACGTCCCCGTATCCTAGAATTCGAAGGAATTCTCCACCAATCCCCTTCACCCGTCGATTACACTCTTGGTAGTTCTTGAAGCCGTCTGCGCTTCTGAACATGGAGCACGTGGCCCCTGAATCGGCCACGTACCTCATGACACCCTGGCCTTGTTCCTCTACCCCCACTAGACCAAGATCAACGGTACGACCACACTCGCCTGGCTGGGTTGCCTCCGCCATGTAGGCCTGGTTCTCGACGGAATCAACATCGCTCACCACCTCGGCAAGCACCGCCGCCTCCGTAGGACACTTCTCCTTCTTGTGGCCCCACCCTAGGCAGTGCTCACATTGCGGGTTGTAGTCGCTCTCCTTGGTCTCGCATTGGAACGACTTGTGCCCCTTGAGACCGCACGTGAAGCACCGGAAAGGAATCTCGCTTTTCCCACCGCCGCGACCGCCGGCCCCTGTTCCCCCACTACTGTCCGACTTGCTCTCCTTCGTTCCACCATCCCCTCCGCCTTTGCTGCTACCGCCCCGGCCGTTGCCGCGTCCGCCGCTGCTGCCGCGGCCACCACCACGACCCTGGCCCCAGCCTCGGCCAGATGACCGCGTGCCGCGGCCACCGTTGGCGAGGTAGGCCTGCTCGGGGCCCCGTGCTCCTCTCTTCGCTGCTTTCCGCTTCTCCGTGATCGCATTGTACTCGATTGTGACCTCGCGAATCACGTCTTCTTTCGTCAAAACCTTCTGGTGCCGCAGGTTGTGCTTGGTCATGGCAAACTCGTTCGGAAGCGCACCAACGAAGTGGTTCAAAACGAAAGTTTCGTTAGCAACGATGCCTTTCGTGTTAAGGCGTTCGGCAGTCGTCAGCATATCACGGAGGGTGTGCACGGGGTGTCGATCATCGGGGATTCTCTTGACCAATAACTTCTGCATGTCATCTGCATTCTGCATGGTTGTGATCGGGTCATACATCTCTTGCAATTCCCGAAGCGCCCCCAGAGGCGACTGTGCCCTCCTGATCGTCTTCTTGTCTTCGTCTGTCGTGAGTGCATGGCTCAAAAAGTTCCACGCGTGAAAAGCCAGTTCTACTTGCTGGCTTGGGTAGTCAATACACAGCTCTTGTTTGGTCCGACCACCGTTGTTGTGCACAGGGATTTCCACCGTTCCTTCCTGAAACTGTTGAGCTAGGTTAGCACCATTTGCCATCATGAGAAAATCCTCCTTCCACGTCGGGAAATCCTTTGGGTCCCCGTTGAACTTGTTTGGTGCATATCTTGCACTGCTGTAAGCGTACTCTCCGCCCCCAGCATACACACCAACCTCAGCAGCACCACCACTCCCCGTGGGACTACTGAAACCAAAACCACCTTGGTTGTGAGCAGCGGCTACTCTCACCTCTCGGGGGTTTAACCCCCTAGCTTCGCCGCTGTGTCGCCCTCCCGCAGGAGGACCAGACTCTCTCAAAGGTTCGGGCAGGTACGTCTCGCCCTGTCCACTCCAACTCTGCGGTGCCCCTCTCCGGACTTCCGCAGTAGCTGCGGCGCCCTCCATGGCGCCGCTGCCAGCAGCAGCACCCTCCGTGGTGCTGCCTGACCCTTCTCCTTTGGCCAACAGCTTCGACATCATGGCCATCATGCCGTCAAACTTGCTGTCCAGCGATGCTTCCAACGAGGCTACCTTGCCTCGTAGCATCTCAACCTCATCTGGTCTCCCACCAGGATCACCACCGGGAGCATTTTCGCTCCCGTCTCCATGGCTCTCCATTTTCCGAATGGACTCCCTCGAGGGATGGATCACTAGTGTGTTGTATATGTCCGCGACTTGGAAGGGAGAGACTGAATATCGCTTGTATTAGAAACGCAGAAGCAAGAGAAGAGAAGAAGAAGAGTGCTTCCGGAAAACAGAGAAGCAGGGGTCACAAACACAAGAACCCCAAAATGGTATGTCTACGTTCCTATCTGCGAATATATCCGTTACTGCGGTCGATCAATACCTGTCCGTATCCAAACACACGAACAGTTCTTGCTTGTAGAATGATGACGTGTGAGGGGCTGACCTAGATCTTCATGTAAAGCAAGAATCCTAGCTGTATGGCGGGTGGGTAATGGGTGATGACCAGGTGCGGTTGTTTACTGGGAGGTTCTGTGCACACGGTAGTTTCCGGGGCATCCTGTTTTTTTTTGCGCTGTGTTTCGTGAGACGCATGTGCATGTAGTCATGGTGTTGTCCACAGGACAGGATCAGCTCATTACCCTCTCTACAGCAGTGTACTACTTCTCACTCGCACATCAAGTATCCCATCGTACAATGCAGCAAATGAAGGGCACGCGAGCGTCCCGTTCCTTTTAGTTGAGATTTGCATGTGATGCGTATGTATATATTTGGTGATGTATTGATGTTTTATGTGCGTAGCGTCGAGGGTTCTTACAGATTTGAGGGTGCTGTCGAAAATGGAGCTTGGTCTTATTATATCGGCTTGCTTCGTCCCTATTGTTTCCTCTATCTAGTTTGGGGTCAGCCTCCCTAAATTACTTCTGCTGCCTCGCGTTATCGACACTGCAGTACGTGGAACGACCTCGAAGCAACGGAAACAACAACCCTGTTGTTTCGTGTCTGTGAGCAGTGCTTCCCTTCCGCCCGCCCCGCCCGCCCCCCCTTGGTCAGTTACATCGCGAAGCTCAGGGAATGGGCGAGAAGATATGTGGGCCAAGGCACGTGACTAGCATGACGTTAGTTTCAAGCAGACCGGGGACGCCGACAACAGGTCATGTTGGGCAAAACACAACAAGTTCGCTTGACGGCCCGAGCACACATGATGGAGATGAACTGGGCGATGCTTCCTTGAAAGCTGCCTCGAAGGGTCAAACACAGTCAGAATCGCGTGCCAAAGCGGGCGGGTGTGGTCGAATTGATTTCGTGGCCCACAGCAAGCGTTTGAGTGCAACGGATGGTACTTGCTTTCTGTTTTTTAGGCTTTCATTTATTTGAGATCAAGACGTTGGCAAGGGCATGTGAAGATGCACTCATATGACAGCAAGACGTTGGAAAGGGCAATTGAAAATCGTCTCCACGACCACGCCGCACAGGTGGTCGTTTTTAGGCTCAGCGTTTTGGGTTTGTTTCTTTTAAGGCTGCGACTCGATTTTTCTTCGCGCATTTTCATTCTTGCGCGCACGGGCATCGTCATGGATTGTTTGCACTCGAGTACCACTTGCAGACCACCCGCGTTGGTTGATTGAACGGTAGGTCGGGGTGCTCAGTGTTGGGTTTTATGTTCCCGCGGCAATAATGCAATAACCTGGAGGTTGTGCTGCGTGAGGGCTAGTCGTATGGCGTTCGGCACCCCAGAGGATCGGACAAACACAAGAAAACGACAACTCGAAGCAAAACATCAGATTAAAACGAAGGTCGGGAACATTAAAATCAGGCAGACGTAAGTTTGATAACGGGATCAACAAGTTAACCCCTCATGCAAGCCAACCAGCATTGATACCGTTGAAGTATGAGTAAAACGTAGTAAAAAGGCGCGGGAAAAAGCTCCACCAGAAATATGGTGTAGCTTCCGTCCAGTACTATGTAAAATATCCAGAACCTGCGGGACATGTATGTGCGCATGTACGCAACCAGGAACGCAGGAAAAAAATGAACACACATCCGACTCAAAACATGAAACTGCTGCATGCAAAGCACAATCCCCCGTCCCCCACACGACGACCGAGGGCAGGAGCAGCGGCAAAAGGCTCATAAAGTAGCAACACACACAAATAACAGAAACGCAAGCTTGACTGCCGGTTGCAGAAAAAGGGCCCTCACTACTTTATACGGGGGGGGGGGGGTGGCAACATCCGTGCAGACGAACCCCCGACATCAATAGTGTCCAGTAGTGCCTTAAACCAACCACCAACACTCCTTTGACCGTTCGCCGAACACAACACAAACACCTGCCCATCAACCTTCCACGCAGTGGGCTTCTGCGGTGTACATATAGCATGTGAAGCGGCAGCAACATCAGATCCAACCGGAGACAATTAACCTGCGCCATTATGGACCGAAACAAAATAACCAAACGATACAACACAAAGAGAACAAAATAGTCGATCGCAACAAAGCCATAGGCCCAGAATACAGCCGTGCGGAGGCGAGCAACGAAGCAGTCTGTCCACAAAAGCACAGTCATAGTAGGGCAGCTGGCCTTGCTCAACGCCCCAAAGGGGAGCGTCGGTGCTGATCTTCTCCCTGTAAGTAGTCGGTTCCGCTGTTGGCACAGAAGACGTAAGGTGGCCCCTCATCTTCGACAATCTCCCACGCAAACAACGCGGTCGTTGCAAGAGAGCAGGGATGGACAACGGAGGGCGGAAGGAGGAGACGCCATTTGCTTTAGTGCGGGAATAATCGATGGCAACCCGTAGTGCGCACCACGAAATATACCACCGTGGCATCGATCTGTTTTCGACACGTGGGCGTGGACGGAGCTACCGCGGCAACGACGCTACAACAAAGAACATTCAGTTTGGTGCGGTAAGTCGCCGTCATTGCCCCCACAATGTACACCTCCCTCTAGACTAATTGGTGGAGGGGCGAACATACCCGAATGCACCATGCGGTGACTTGATCGTGAGGGATACAACCAAACAGGTCGTGTCCTCGGGAAGACCGAGCGGTAGAGTGCCACGCTTGCCCTGGCAGACTCCCCCGCCCTCCGATGAGCGTAATCAACGAATCGGGTCGGACGAAAACGTTGGTGGTGCGAAAAGGCCAAGGCAAGCACGGGTTAACACGCCATAGTGAATGTATGGACAGAGCGGCATCGATTGGTCCCACAACACGCAGTTCTCCCGTTCTATTCGAGGCATACGCACCAAATATCATAATAGACATACGTACAGGCGGACAAAGATGTATGCTGGAAGACGAGCTGCGGCCTCAGCACTCACAGGAATATGGTGCGGTCTCAGCTAGCTGCGTTGGAAGGCGCTGTGCACGATTTTTCTTGACCCTCTCGGCTCCATCCCCATCCACAAGGAATGCCTCAGCCCGCCACCCGTACATGAGCGCCGCGTAATCGACCCCGTCCTCGTCAGCGGTATGGGTCGCGATCGCCGGGTCTCCCTTGTTTATGGATCTTAACGAGGGGGCAGCGATAACGACACAGATGGAGTTTACCAGGACGTAGTACAAGTTAGGGGTAGCTGGCCGGTGTATCTGATGACAACCACAGCAGCAGCAGCAGCAGCAGCAGATGCTCTTGTGCATCATCTGCACGAACACAGCAGTTTGAGCCGTCGTATCCTCCTCAGGAGAGCCACACACGTAAGTGAGCGTATCGTTTCCAGGCACCTGTATGGATGGGACTGGCGTCTGCTGTGATAAATCGTCCGACAATGTAGGGCACCGAATGTCACGCGTGTTTCTACTTCGAACTACAGTCGACGGTCTTCTAAAGCGGTACCCTGAAAGCGAAAGGTCCTGAATAACGGCACCGATATCACTCGGCACAAATGCATCTCTCAGTAGCTGTGCTTGTGCCTCTGCGGAGGGTTGCATCCTTTCTAGCTACATAGAGGAGCGGGATGAGGTGGTCATGGCCATTCGAGGCGGACACGGAGCCGGCGTTCATGGAGAAGATGAACGACAGGTTTACAGAGGACTCCGATTCCGACGAGGAGGAGCTGATCGACATGGGGAAGGTTGAGAGTGCAGGGGGTGGGAAGTTGATGTCGCCGCCGCCGTACTCGGATCATTGTCGGAATTTTTTGGCCCGCTAGAGCACGCTCAGTCGGCTGGAAGTGACGAGGCAGAGGGTATCTTCTTCGCAAGGCCAAGATGTCGTTCCTCGCAGTCCATGCCGCTAAACCAGTCCGGTAGTCAGACATGGAATGTTTCTCGAAACACGGCCGTTGTGAACAGTGGTGCCTTGTTGTCCGCCTTGGTATTCGGTAGCCAAGGGGACATCGATGGCCGGCATGCACGAAGAAGTACTGTAACTAAGCATGTGCTGTACATGGCTGTGATGATCCTTCCTGCTGGTGGTGTTTTGTTGACTTTTGTCCGCTGCTGCTGCTGCTGCTGCTGCTGCTGCTGCTGCTGCTGCTGCTGCTGCTGCTGCTGCCGCTTCTGCTGCCGCTGCTGCTGCTGCTGCCGCTGCTGCCGCTGCTGCTGCCGCTGCTGCTGCTGCTGCTGCTGCTGCTGCTGCTGCTGGTGGTGGTGGTGTTGCTGTTCGCTCGCAATGGGTACTTGCTTGTTGTAGAATGATGGCATGTGAGGGGCTGACCTAGATCTTCATGTAAAGGAGCAATTCAGCTGTGTGGCGGGTGGGTGATGGGTGATGACCAGGTGCAGTTGTTTACTGGGAGGTTCTATGCACACGGTAGTTTCCGGGACATCCTTTTTTTTTTTTGCACTGTGTTTCGTGAGACGCATGTGCATGTAGTCATCATGGTGTTGTCCACAGGACAGGATCAGTTCATCACCCTCTCTACAGCAGTGTACTACTTCTCGCTCGCACATCAAATATCCCATCGTTTACAATGCAGCAAATGAAGGGCACGCGAGCATGGTTGAACAGGGGCCAGCGACCTGTAACCGTTGCCAAAAAATTACACGCTACACTACTGGTCGTGCCCCCTATCGGGGGGATGGGAAGCGTTGTGACTCGGCGACGAAGAATATACATATTTTTCGTGCGCCTAGAACCCCCTTGATGCTTTCTTTGTTTTACTTGGCGTTGCGTCCTGCAGCCACTGATTTTTCTTCCGCGGCGCTACGTTGGATTTGAATTTGATCGGGAAGGGATCGAGTAGTCCCTTGGGTACGGCGTTGCCGGAACTACGGCGTTGCCGGAACAGCAACACGGGCGGGTGGACGACCGCTGCGGTGCACCGGGCGGCGTAGGAAGGCAACATGCCATAATTCTCGAGTGATATTGACACCAGCCACCCTTCTTGAAGGTAGGTGTGGTTTGATCTTATCTTTCGTCGTAGTACCGCCGCACAACCAAACGTTTTCCGGGGTGATTAGATAACACGTTTTCGAGCACTACCTGGTAAAGCAGTAAAGAGATCCGATCGTTGTTCGATGCGCTACTGGGCAGGTTCTGGCCTGCTGTGGACTGTTTGTTTTTTCGATGTGGTCTATCTATTTGCTACGGAAAATGTCGTGATTCATTTGGCTTATACAATCGATCTTATTGTGTACTTTTCAAGTTGCGGGGCGGAGACCAAGTTCACCGGGGGCGCTCCCGTCGTTTGCGCCACACCGCGCCTACACGGCGAAGAATGAACTTTATTCGATATACTCGTAGCATAGCATGTGGGTGGTATATTGCGTATACATATGCGGGTATTGCAGTGACGAACTACGGAGGAACAAGAAGTTTCTTTATGTTTTCCTTGGGAGTGTGGTAGATTGGTGGACATTCATGGAGATTCGTTTTGGGTGTTTGATACTAGTGTTTGAGCGTTATGCGTGACTTGATGCCGTGATGGAATGACGAGCTCAAGCACGCCCCCGATTAATACAACACGACAACACGNCAAAGAACCGAGCCACCCGAATTATCGATCACGCTAGCGATGACACGTCGTCTACGAGATTCGCGGTCGAGCTTGGTTTAGGAGTATCGCTTTGCGGCGATCGAGAGCAGGGTCAAGATGGCTACCAGGCGCGAAGATGAAGCGCGCCAAGCAGCGGAGGCCCGCTATGCAGCGGAGGCCCGCCGAGCAGCGGAGGACGCCAGGATCGAAGAACAAGATAGCTCCCGCAGCGTCGACAAGAGCGCGCGGTTTGGAGCAGACGAAGTCAACAGGAGTCCGGATGTCAGCTGCAAGGTGAAAGCAGGAGAGGGTTAGATAAAAGTCATGCTTCCCCCTTCTTCCCCTCGCTCCTCGACAAGCTTTTGCTTAGACATGGGTTGTAGTGAAGGGGGGGGTCTTTCTGGCGAGCAGGGCTAGATTCACCCTCAAGGGATGACCGAAACCTTCTTGCTGCTGCGCATATCCGCCGCGAGGCATGCGCGTGGTGGTGTAGTTGGGTCGGCACTGATGGGGTCAGGCGAAAAAATGTAGATGCGCGGGCCTCTGGCCGTCGGCGTAGGCAGCGATGCCCATCTCATTTTTTGTGCGCGGAGGCAGACACCGTCAGAAGGTGGACGGG